CCAGCCTTCTGCGATCCTCCGTACAGCGTCTTCAAGCGCGTCCACGCGGTCCACGCTTCCTCGCAGTTGTCGACCACATGGTGGTAGTCCGCGTCCATGTGGAGCAGCATCAGACCGAACGCGATGTTGCTCGACTTGCCATACTCGTGCCGGAAGAGTTCCAAGATGATCCTATCTATGCAAAGCCAAGTGAGCGGCAACAGGACGACGCTAAAGCGGCCAAACAAGCTCGTCGAAAACACCGAGCTTCAATGGCTGCAGCAGCGAAGGCTAACCAGGACCGCCGAGGCAGGGACGTTCAGGATGAGAGTCGTCCTACTCCCAAGAAGGCTCGTAAATAAAGCAGATCTATTCTGCAACAGACACAAAATAGTACAAAATGATACTTATGGTACCATGTCACTAATGTGAAAGTGTGGATAAAATTGGAGTTTTGCACATGTTCCAATAACAATTGGAATAAACGGACAACACCATTGGCTCCGCGCGACAATTTTACGTCAGAATGTCAAATAAAAACAAAATATTTTTCAATTTTGGAAACGAGATTTTTTTAGCGGCTCATAACTAAGTGAGATCTCAGTCCTGGAAGCTAAGCAGGTGCTCAAAAGATAGATGAGACGCCCCTCTTCCCCGTGGTGTGCCTAAATCGTGATTCGTACTTAGGTTCATTAGTATTATTTTGTTTTGTGAGGTCTCCTATGTAGGAGCAAGAATCAAATTTTATTACCTTATACGTGTATCCGATAGCCAAAAAAATCAGCCTATCAGAGAAACCAATCGGCTAAATTTGTGATTGGCCAGGCTCTTATAAGTGAGCAGTATGAGCATGTCGAAAGGCAGGAGTATTATATATTATACTCGGAGCGACGCCATTATCAAAGTGCAGCAGCCCTCACCACTCGTCTAACCAGCTTCCGCCTGCCTCATCTAGCGAATCTATGTGGCGACAACCTTTGGGCATGTTGAAGGCGCAATTTCTTCGGAAATAGAACGATCTCCAAGGTATTTCACCGGCTTGACAAGTGTGGGATGTCGAAATTTGTCAAACTTTGCGCCAGTGGCGAAAGCCGCTGCCAGTCGTTTGGCCCGCAATGGCTTTCGCCACTCAATTCAAACTTTGGGACTTCAATGCCTTCGCCATCGAAATTGAAGTTGTCGCCCGCGACTTGGCTACAGTCGACACTGCCAAATTTTCCAAAAGCCGGAGGACGAAATTACGGGACCTGCTTCCGCTAAAAAAGGGCGCCGAAAAAAGCTCGGCGATCCGAAGCAGCGGGGCGATGCGCCAGCTGCTTCCGACGCAGAGCAATTGACTTGATGCCATCCTACCCGCGACTCGTAGCAATAGCGACGTACGAACGTAGAGACAACGCTCCTGTCGGCAAGTCGCCCAATGGAGCATTTCGCCATGATGGCAGTCTCAAAACGAGGTGCAGGTCTAGGTACCTACACTTGGATTTTGACTGGACGTTTCGTGCGGATGCTAAAATAAGTGAGCTTCACTCGCGTACCGTCTGTTACGAAACGAGCCTTCAGAATTAGATATCAAAAAAGTTCAAACTTCTTACAAAGCTCAAGTCCTCACCTTATTCACCCGCGTAAGGCTATCGCTTTTTTTCTTTTCAATTGTTTCCCTGTACAATACCTTCCTCCCAAGAACGGTTAGGGCTCTGAAAATTTCACTGTGTCGACGTTGTTGCACAGCACGGGCGGCAGCCGTAGCCAGAATGGCCGGCCCCGCGTTAGGCACTTTAGCACTCCAGCGCCACAGAAGGAAGCCCAAGCCGCTTCCTCAGGAGTATCATCTCTCTCTTCTCTCTGCAGGGCCGCCTGGGGGGACACGCAGCCTTATGCCTCAGTCGCCGCCGCATCCCTTGACCTTGTAGACCCTCGGACGGATGCAGCGCGTGCTGCACAAAAAGAAGAAGAGCGAGCCCAAGTCGGCCCCGGATCGCCGGCTAGCGACCACGTCGGCGTTGTCGCCCTCGCTCACACGCGCGGCGCTGTCGGCCTCGCAGTCCAGTGCGGGCTCAGGTCGTCGCCATGCCGCCACTTTGTACCACCACAAGAGCGCAGCCCACACAACACTAAGCAACACACCGCCGCCACCTCGCGATCAGGTGGTGGTGGGTCTCTCGGCCTCGACAGAGGACGAGGTTGAGGACTGGAGTAGCGATTTCCTGGCCGCTGAACCTCGAACACGCTGGAGACGACAGGATAGCGTCGGTGCCGAGTTTTTATTGGCTGATGCACTGTACAAACGGCGGAGTAGCAGTAGCTCCAATGGCGTCGCACGACGTGGTAGCGAAGTGGGCGCGTCCAGTGGCAGTAGTGGCCACGTGGATGAAGACGATAGAGGCCTCTACAGTTCCTACTCGTCCGTCAAAGACGCAGCTCGAGTGACACGTACAGACCAACCAGAACATGCCAGTGACAGCGACGAGGACTGGGACGCCGAATTCGGATTCGATGAACAGACCGACGCTGCACTGGGATCCTCGGATAGTATGGATCCAACCAGACGAAGAGCGGAGAATGGCAATTTCTTTCTACCGAATCTGCACGAAGTACTGGACGGCGAGACTTTACCTGACGACGACGAGATGGACGACGCCGTTGCTTTCAATTTAGACGGAGCACAGCGACGACAACGCAGGCCGTCAGAGGAGCCGCTTTTCCAAAGAAGACGTAGCGATTTCCACCAGTCAGGAGCGAGTATTGATGGCAGCGTGGACGGTATCAGGTCCAGTATGACGTCTGCGTCAGCGTCCTCGTCTAACGCTGTGGAGTACGCGTTAGTGGACAAGTTGAGACTATTAGAAGTAGCCAACTCGTCCGCGTATGCTGTCAGGATAGAGCGGTATCCCAAGCCGTCGAGTACATTTAGCCATTTGGAGCGAGACCGCACCAACTTCCCCAGTTTCACCGAGAACAAGTATGAGCGATGGCTGGCGGATCTGGTGGTGCCAGACTGCGCCATTGTATCGCATCACATGGAGGCAGAACGCAACCGCTTGCCGCCTCCACGACAACTGAAGAACCAGCAGTTCCACGCGCTTGTGTCACTTCCATTCGGACGCGAGTTTGTGGATACTTTCTTCAAGCAGATCACACATTACCGGTATTTCGGCGAGGATAAGGAGAACAAGGAGCTGGTGAGGATGTACTTTGAGAAGGTCTCAACCACAGGCATGACGGACGAGAACTGGGCCCAGAATTTATCGCCTGTGGACTTGGACTACGTGGTGGGATGCAGCGTCGAGATTTTGCAGGAAGCAGCGAGACTGTACGGCCCCAAGCCGGTGGTTCCACTTGCTACTCATCTGTCCTTGTCGATGCTGTCTACGTCGTCGTCGGCGTCGTCTCAAGGCAACAAGACTACTATTTATTGGATCCAGCAATTCCAGGACATTCTGGTGCATTGCGCAGAGGCCTTTCCGCAGTATTCGAACGTCATTGCGCTCATTGAGTTGCGATACGTTTGTCATCACTTGGCAGGCTTTGCGAGCGGCGAGTACGAGTACAAGTGGCAGATTTGCAACCAGCTACCGGCCTTCTTGCCGCTAGAACCAGTGATGGGCGACTCAGCGTCACAGATCGTGAACGAAGTGCTTCAGTACTACGGCGCGTTGTTCCAGCACTTGAATACGAGCCCAGAAAGTCGTAGCAACCGATACACAGGACACAAATCATCTGGCGACAAGAGGAGTGCGCCAGTAGACGAAGCGAGGCAATACGCTCTCTCTTCCGACGTGTTCTGTCTGCAGGCGCTCATCCTGTGCGATATTCAAAGCTTGTACGACAGCAAGAGTGCGCTGGCCGATATCTCTCTCCCTGCGCTCGAGGAACTGATCGAGTTTGAAGACGACGAGGCAACTGTAGACCCTATTCTAGTCGGGTTAATGCCTCACAACCGAGATAGCAGGAGCAGCTCTTCCTCGTCCAATCCGGATTATCGCGACAGTGGTTATGAACGTGGTGATCACTCGAAAGGACTGGGAGGCTGGAGTGCGAGTGCGAAGCTGTTTGAGCTCTTGAGACCTTCATCTCGGAGTCGTAACTCGGCACTGAGCTTCTTCTACGAACGGATATCAGCAGCAAAGTTCCCGCTCGTGAAGGCCAAGTGCGCGTGTGTTCTGGCTGGTATACACGTGTCCTCTACCACGTCCCATGGCAACCTCCGAGTGGCGGAATCTCTCGCGTATGAAGCATTGAGGTTATTAGAATCGTGTTCGAAGAAATCGGTGATTAAATTGTCCAAGATACCGTCGCTACGCAGCCGCGACAAGACTGTACCAGTACCCTATCTCAGCATATTTAACAACGACGGACTTCTGTCGGATTTGGGTCGCGAGGCGCTCGAAAGTCTGGGCAACATTTTGATCAAGAATAACAAGTATCGCTACGGCATCCTGTGTCTGGAGGCTGCTGGCGCTCTTTTCAGTTTCCTGAACCAAGGCTGCGAGTACGAAAAGCTGGATCGACTGCTGTGCAAGCTCACATTGGAGGCTGATGATGTACATCGAGCACTGCCGCTGCATGAGAAGGTGACGTGTGCAGCTCAGCGACAAGGCAACATCACGGTGTATGTGTATTTAACACAGGAGATGACCAAGCTGTGGATTCGAGAAGGAAACTTTACGCGTGCTGAGGAATACTTGGCAACCGCTTGCCATTTCCTGCGAGACCACACGAACCTGCTGCCGCCACACTTCCTGTCGTCTGTTATCAATGGAAGTTACTCCAGTAGCGAAGCTCCATCCAGCCGTAGCGGGACGATGATGACGGCCACATCTAGTTCCGTGTCATCTTCGCTTTCGGGTTCATTCCACCTTTCATCACGAAGTACAGGGAACGCCAGTGAGGTGGATACGTGGCTGAATCACGACATCAACTTGCACCTGTTGGTTCGAGATGTCTACCGCTCTAGTGGTCGGTGTTTGGAAGGTATGCGGGTGCTGGAACATCTTCTGAATTACAGCTCCCGACTACCTCGTGGGAAGCGCACACAGCTGAGAATGTTGCTGGCTGAAGATGCTCTCAAGATGCGGATGTTTGACACTTGTCGTCACATGTTTTCGCTCATGGAGAGGGAAGCTACAGCCTTTTGTGATCGTCTGCAGGAGAACATTAAAGGGTTCAGTGGACCAGGCAGTAGCAGTGGCACTGGACCTGGAACAAGCAGCAGCGGTGGAGGCAGAAGTCTTGGAGGTATGGGCAGTGAGGCTCGCTACTGCTTCGACATGTCGTTCACACTCCGTTACATCGTATGTCGTGTCAAGATGTATCTCAAGCTCAAGGACTTTGGCAACGCTTACGCTTGGCTGTCGTTGGCTCACGTCAAAAACGATCGTGATAATGTCCGTAAACAAGCGCAGCTGTATGTTTTGGACGGGAAAGTGCTCCGTGCCTTTTGTCGAGAACAACAGGAGCGCGAGTGGGAGAGAAGACGTGATGGCGAAGAGTCGACTCGACGAGGACGTACAGGCTCTACTTTTGTCGGAAGTGTCGTGTCTCCAGCTCAAGTGGAGGAAATGCTGAAGCCTTTGGGTGTCTCGTTGTATGGCCTGAACAAAGACGAGAAACAGCGCTTGAACGAGCGGATGGTTCAGTTTGCCACGTGTATTCGCGACGTCGACAAGGCGGAGGAACAGGCTCAAAACGCATTCTGGACGGCGTTCGATCTGTATCGCGTGCTGGACGACAGTCTGTATCAACTGAAGGTGTTGCTGGAGATCGTCTCCTTCATGCTCGCGCCTATTCAACGTTCATTCTTCGCACTCGGCAGTAACCAGGACGATGAGATGCTCAAGTCTCATTTGCATCGTCGAAGTTCAGGTAAAGAATCGTCTGGAGCGTTGGAACTGGAGGATTTAGGCGGTGACGACACGATCGAGAAGACGCGGAAGACGTTGCTGGAAGCGCAGAAGCTGCTGCGTCCTGCACTGAACTTGGCTGAGCAAGTGGCGAGTCCCGCGTGTTTCCTTCAGACGTTGATCTTCTGCAGTGAAGTGTGGGTCTGGCTCGAGCGTATCGCGTCGTATAAGAGCGAGAAACATCTGAAGGAGGCCACAGCGTTCTGGGAGGAGGCTGTGCGTGTCATGAAGGGCGTTTTCTTCCGTCGTGTGGCGTTTCATGACGTCGCTGACGCTCAGATGCTGCACTCGTCGGGCTTTGGCAACGACTTCTCGATGCCTTTCGCGCGTGGACTGAACAAGGGACGCTTCTGTGTAGTTCCGATCTTGAACTTTAGTGAAGGATTCATCGTCAAACTGGAAGCCATGACGCTGCAGCTCATCCTTGCAGCCTGTCAGCTACAGCTGTTTGAACGTGTGCCAGAATACGTCGAAGAGACGCTGCTGGCTCATCTGGACGAGCTGCTGAGTGCTCGAATGTGTCTGAGCAGTATTGTGCATCAGTTGCAGACGTTCCGAGCTCTCCAGAGATCACACAAGCGTTTGCCTCCGACTGGATCGACGTCGAATCTCGCAGCTGCGATGCCCTCCGGCTCGAGTGTCTCTGTGTCTAGTGTCGGCAGTAACAACTCGAGATCGTCTTCATTCTCTGCGGTGATTCCAGTCCCCTCGCCTCAAATGAGTGCAAGCGGGAAGCAGGTGGCGTCTACGCCGTCTCCGAGTGGCGCGGGTGTAGCGGGCAAGCGAGCTGGTCACAAGAAGAACCAGTCCATGTCGTCGATCTCCGAGTTGTTGGCGTCTAATCCGTACCAAGAAGGCGCTGCTTCGTATGGTGCACCGGGTGGACTGAAGAGCTCCGCAACGCCTCGAACTGGTCTCGCATCTTTGAGTGAGCGGCCGAATGTCCCTCCTCCGTCTACGGCTACCGGAAAGTCTGGAGCTAGTGGACACACTACGAAGAAGAGTAGCGAACGGAAGCCACGACGGTATACGCGAGAGAGATCACGCTCAGCTCCGCAGCCAGGAATGCCCAACCACCCGTCCCCAAGCGCAGAGTTGGCTTTCGACGGCCATCTCCATGAAGGAGGAAGTATGCCGGTTCTTGCCGAGTCCGGAGAGAGCAGTGATGGCTCATTGAAGCGCACGTCGTCCGTCAAATTCATTGATCTTGGTGATCTGCGATCGTTGCCCCCTGGAGAAGACTTTGTACTGGGCAGAAGCGACGGCTTTGGACGTGACGAAGGTAGCAGCTCTAACGGAGCTATTGGTCTGTGTGACTTTGATGAAGTGCAGTCTGAGAAGCTCTGGTGGATCTTTAACCTGTGGCGCAATGCCAAGTCCAAGTACGTAGAAGGGAAGATCGAGACGTCTGAGTTCCGGTCGTGCAACTTGCGTTATCTACGGACATTATTGGACGCGTTTGACCCGCAACAGATCGCTGTGCTGTACTTTAGAGGACCTGAGAGTTCGTCGATGGACTCTGTCGTAACACCAGGTGGCACTAGAGTTCCGTCCGATGTGAACACTGGAAACCCCAATGGAATGCTGGACTTTGACGTCTCGAGGATGAATTCTCACGCGTTAATTCAAGATCGACAACTGGTACTATCGATTGGCTACGAGTATTCAGGTGAAGTTCGAACACCGTTTGGAACACACCCGAAGCTCCAGTTCAAAGTGTTTGGTGTCCGTGAGGGCGACACACGGCCGTGGCGTCAGGAGATCCCACGACCGGATTGGTATCTGTCCGAGTACGACATGTTGGAGGCTGAAGACGCTGCTGTTGGAGCAGGAGTTCTGCGCACGATGCGACTGCTTGGAGCCAAGTTGTTGGTCAAGTTGCTAGGAGTCTTGCTGCTGGAGAACTCCGTTGTGGTCGTAGGGAACTCGTACCCGCAGATCCAGGAAGTGGCCACGAGTCTGCTGAAGCTACTGGAACCGTTCCAGTGGCAACATACGTTCCTGCCGTTCGTGCCCGTGACGTCCTGGAGATTCCTCCACGATGCTGTGTATCAGCATGCGCAGGCGGAGCTGGCGGCTCGACCGAAGAGCCGCAGGTCGTTCTCTAGACTCTCGCACGATTGGCGGGCGTGGAGCAGTGGAAGTGGTAGTGCAGCTGGAAGTTCGTACTCTTCGTCCCGTGGCAGCACTGACAGTCTCTATGGAGGGACCAGCTCGACTGGATCGGTGGAGCCGACAGAGGAAGAACCGCCGTTCTTGCTGGGCGCTACAGCCGATACATGGCAGAGTTGCTTGGCGTTCTCCAAGAAATGTGGCAACGATCCTCGCTTGCTGTCGTCGTGTGTGGTGGTGGTGGATCTGGACGATGTGGACTCGCTCGCGACCGATAAGACGCTCCGGAATGCTGTACCTTTGCCCAAGAAGTGGCGACGACAGTTCTTGGAGCGAATTGAGAAGATCACAAGGCAGCGACACAAGATGCGCGCGAAAATGAGTCGCAGACACTCGTCACAGCAGCTGGTATCGAGTCGTGGACCCACGACTCCGGCCTCGTCCTCTGGCGTAGCGTCGATGCGGTCTCCAGTAGGAACGTATCCTCCGATGGACGTGACGCTGCGTAGCTTCGACGACGTGCACAGTACGAGTCGCTCGGGATCCAGTTGGATGATGACTCCAGTGTCAGCCAGCAACGTGTCCGATCCAGACAGCAACTACCAAGGTGTACAGCCAACAGACCCCAATGGACTTGACGAGAGGAAACACTACGACTCGGACTGTGCTGCTGCGTTTGTGAGTGGACTGCGTGAGTTCTACGACAAGTTGCTGGTGTTGTGTGCTGAGAAGGAACGCAAGGCCAAAGGCAGCAAGAAGAAGAAGACTTCGAGCAGTAGTGGCCACTCCAAGCGACAGGAGATCAAGTCGTGGTTCTCGTCTTCTCACGACTTTGACGCGTTCGTAGACAACTTCCAGAATACGGATCTACTCGAGGCGTTCGAGAAAGAGAAGGCAGCAGCACAGGAGGAAGCACAAGCCCAAGCTCGAGCGATGCTTGAGCGTCAGTCCAGCGAACACGAGGTCAGCTCTACCAGCAGTGGCCGAAGTACGCGCTTCGGTACGACCCCAAAGGCTCTTGTCAACTCGTTCACGCCACAGCAACTCAAGAGTTTCGGCAGCTTCAGCAGTTTGACGGCCAGCAATCGAAGTTCCGGTGGTCAGGAGCGGAGACGGTGAAGAGGGAAGGTAGCTTAAAATTGTAGGAAGCTTAACTATTATTTATCCGCAAAGTTTTGCGAATGTCAATGGGGACTTGGTCGTTTCTTGTTGCTCGCGTGCTTGTTGCAGAGCCAACTTGGCCTTGGCGTGCAGCTGCTGGTCAATGCGGTAGGCGGTGGAGGCTTTACCTGCGCGGACAGCCCATTGAAGGGGAGTTTTCTTGGTCTGTAGGCAAAATTTGGATTAGATTTTTGTAGTTATGGTAGGCTTGATGAACTCAACGTGTGAAGTACTTTGTCAGGGAGATACCAATTGGCCCCGTTGTTGAGTAGCAGCCAGATCATCTCTTCCGAGCCAGCTTTGCAAGCCAAATGCAGTGGTGCATACCAACCCTGTCAAAAAATATTGCAAGTAAATTTACGAAAGCAGAGAGCAGATAGTGCTTACCCAAGTGCTTCGTTGGTTGACATCAGCACCAAAGCTTAGTAAGAGCTGAGCGATTTCCACATCGCCCTCGGATACTGCGCGATGAAGACCTGTCACGCCGGACTACAAGTGGCACAAAGTGACTTTCAATAACAAAGTAGACAAGAGAAAGCATGATATCGTACCCATCGCTGCTGTTGAATGAGTGCTGGGTGACCTTCCAACGCCTCACGAAGCCGTGTTACGTCTCGCTGCTTGACGAGCAGACAGAGATCGGGTAAGGACGAAGTCTGCGGCTCCATCAAGAGAGTTCGTATTTAGAAATAGCACGAAAAGTTATCTAAAGGAGAAGCATGATATAATGCAAGAACATGTATATGGCGTCGCTGAAGAGCTTTCCTAGGTGCGGTCACTGATCTTGATCCGCCAGGTTGACGTGTTGAGCAGGAACATGTGGGTTCTCCAGCCGCTATTCTGCAGCACTTGGAGGAACAGTGGGAAGTCGGACGTCATCTTGCGATACGTAGATTCGAGCAATGGTTGATGCTTGATGCTGCCATCGCTCGTTGACGGAGGTGGCGACGCAGTAGGAGGAACCAAAGCCAGAGCCTGGAGCACCAAAACAGCCTGGAAGAAAGCCCGCAGCTCGTCTTTAGGCTTCGCTTCCGCTTGGAATATGACATGCACATGATCACCCACAACCGTCAACAAGTACGTTTCATCCTCATAAATCTGCAGCAGTCGGTCGAGGTCCGTCGAGGTCGGAACTGCCTGATGGAGCTCTGATCCCATGACCAAATCACTCGTCACTGGCAATACGGGGTCTTTGAAGATCGGCTCTTCCTGGTTGACACTGCGGATGGAATACTTTTCCACCGGAAAAAAAATATATCAGGTCAGTAAAATATAAAATATCGCGCATAATCACTGCAACTTGATGATGACTCACCCGTCCATGATGGTCGGCAACGTTCTCCTTGCCAGGTTTATTAACCGACGTCAAGAATCTTTGGACCAATATCAATCCTCTCGAGCAGTTCACCGTGGGGATGCACAAACACGACACAGCGTTGAAATTCGCGTACACGTGCACGAGCGTCAATACCAAGAACGCGACCCACACCGCCCGAGGCGACGAGTTGACGGCATTGGCGAAATACATGCCAAATAGAAGTCCAAACAGCTTCACTGCCGTCTCTTGAGACCCTTCTTTAGCAGCACAATCAGCCATATTGTCCCTCTTGGCGAAGTGCGTCATCAACGACGACCTCGTAGCACCAGCAGCTACTCCACACATGGTCTTGCAAACACTCGAGACACAGAGTACTTCGGTCACTAAAGTGGGGAAGTAAGGCGCAACCATGTCGAGCGTCAAGCCCACGTCGTTAATTACATCAGCAAAAAGCCGCCAGCGCTTAACGTTAACGTCGAACTTGGGCCCCACAAAGTAGGCGAAGGTCAACCCGCCGATCATACCCGAACCGTCCCTCAGAACCCATTGCAGTGCTGCTGCCAGAGGCGTAGCCTTGTCGTCTCCCACCCCCACACTTTGTAGTACAGACTGCGTTGCCAACACACCGCGAAGGTAACTGCACATTGCCTGCAATGTGTCCCAGAACTGGAAGCTGAGGTAGTCCTCACTCACGCTGTCCGGATAACCAGCCGGTAAGAACATTTCCTGTAGCTCGCGACTCAGTCCGGACAACGTGAGGCAGCCGGCGTTCCGAGCGCGACCCTGACCCGTTGACAATAACTGATCCCCTTGTTGCACGTAGCGACGCGGAGGTTCATTGGCGCATACTGGACGTGTATCGAACTCAGTCACACGGACGCCTTTGCCGTCATTGGAGAGAGGAGGAGACGGAGAAGGAGACGGCCCCACCTTGCGCTGCGTCAGCTCCGTCATGGCTGCAGCTTGAGGGGGCGGATGTCGATGTGAGATGTCAAGGAAGGCATTGTAGAGAGGGGGGAATAGTGACATGGGTCAATCGGACGTGGTACACACTATGTTCCGAAATTGCTGGATTTTGAACGAATGTGGTGCACATCATCTGAGACATCAAAACGTACCCATCTCACAAAATTGCATTTGAAATGGTGCCAGTCTCCGTTTCGCTACGTACACCTCGCAGCTCTGATGGACGTGGACTACGACGGGCAGACGGCGTTCGACGCGGCCGCCAATGGGGATTTCCCCCTTGTGGTGCTTCTCTGGGGTATGGCAATGGCTGTGCAACCCAAACCCGTAGATCTATTGGCAGCTAAAGACCAAAGTGGGAACAGTTTGGTGCACTACGCGGCTGCGAGTGGCGAAGACACGTGCGACACGATGCACTTCCTGATGCAGCAGATGCACGCATCCGGACGCGAACAAGAGCTCATGGACGCCAAGAATGACGCAGGAGAGACGCCGCTCATGTAAGTGGAACAGTGGCAGATCTTCTGGGCTTGAGAATTGAAAAAATATTATTGACAACGATGATATTCATACAGGAGAGCAGCCCATGCCGGCAATATGCGACTAGCAGACACGCTGTTGCGCTCTGGATTCGTCGATCTATTGGCTCAGGACGCTCGAGGCAACACGGCGGCCCACCACGCCGCTGCTCAGGGTCATCTCTGGATGCTACACTTCTTACTGGAGGCCGAACAGAGACGCAATGCTGCAATGGCCAAGGAAGGAAAACGAGTGGAGTCTACGATGCTCGGTGGCTACTCTTTACAGCACCGGAACGTCTTGCATTACGCCTGTATGAGCGAGTACAAACCCATGGTGCAGTATCTGCTGACCAGAGGCTTTGACGCAAATGAAGCAGATGTAGAGGGCAATACTTGCATGGATTTGGCTAAGCGACGCAACTTGTTGTGGCTGGAAGATCTACTATCAGGCAAGGCAAAGGCGGCTGATCCCCCCACGCACATGCGCAAGACTCGAGGAATTGTAGCAGTGCTGCATGGTTCGCTGTTGCTCGCGATCCTGGCCACCAGCTACTGGCTTGTATGGTGGCTAGCTCTGCCGTTAATTTTCATTATACTAGGCAAGTCACTAGCTGCATTCCGCCAACCAGGTCACGGTCACGGTCATTCCCACGGAGCACCGAAGAATCTGGCCAATTTGCATCCATCCAAACGGAACGTGAAGATAGCTATGAATGTTTCGCTTGAGCGGATTGAAGAGGGTCCGACGAAAGAAATGTCTGCGAAGAGCAAGAAGGTGAAGGACGAGACGAGCGTGGGTCTCCACACGTTAATACGACCACAACCGGAGTCCGCTATGGGCATCTGGATGGCATGGGTGGGTCTATTCACCTTGTTGTACATCGTGCTGTGGGTCGATGATAACTACAAGGACTTTAGAGACAGCCACACGGTGTTTCTGGGTATCACCGGTGGAGCTGAAGTATTTTTTCTGGCGGTGTGGGCACGATTATCATTCTTCTGCCCGACAGATCCAGGAACGATCCAAACGTACGAACAAGACGTCAAGACAATGCTGGACAAGGCGTCACGATGCGAGACCCCGGACATGACCAAGTTCTGCCGCACGTGTCTTGTTATGAAGCCTATACGCTCCAAGCACTGCGCTCAGTGTGGCATCTGTATCGCTCGACATGACCACCACTGCGCGTGGATCAACCGATGCGTCGGGTATGGCAATCATCGGTCATTCTTTGTCTTCTTGCTGCTGCACTGTATTGTGCTGGGAATCTACGCAGCTCTCGCCATTCTCGTGCTTTCCGATGCTACGCATGATCTTCATGCTGAACGAGTGAAGTCGGACGGTAGCGGCAGTACCGACAGTTTGTCGGCTATGGACGTCTGGATAGAGATCCCGTCTCTGATTAAGAAGCACTTGCTAGTGATAATGGTGGTGGTGTGGGACCTCATGGCCTTCGTGGCACTTGCTATGATGGTGAACCAGCACGTGAACAACATCGAGCAGAACCTCACTATTAACGAGCAGATGAACTGGCGACGATACGCTTATATGACCCAGAAACCAGCGTCTGGATCGAAGGACGGCAAGAGTGGCAAGAAGACAGACTCTGTGGGGATGTCCAATCCATTCGATCGCGGCTTCAAGAAGAATGTGGTGGAGTTTTTCGTCCACTCGGGTAGTTCAGCAGTTGACTATCGCAAGGTGTTCACTGTGCCGTCTTCAGATGTTACTGGCGACAGCTCCGCAACCGACACGATGGTGGAGATGTCGTCATCGGAAGGCATCGAAGAGAAGAACAACGCGGGTGATGTCGTGTAAAGACATGGGGGTGCTCTAGTAAAAAATATAAGTACGCCAGATTTACAGCGATGACAACTGGACTGATAGAACGACGAATGTACGAGATGATGAATCACCTGTTAATTAAATTCGATGATACGGTTCATCATCCGTGATGACGAAGTAACCGAGTCAACAGTGTTGACTCACAACCTCTTGCAACCTTTACATGTTGGTCCTGCGTAGCCAGGGTTGGCATAATTTTAAATACCAAGAGTGCACAAGAAACAAACCGAACGTTGAAGTCACGAGCAATGACATCTCGTCAACCATAATAACGGCGTAAACGCCAAGTATAGGCTTGAGTAATATTGCGCTTTGCACACATTCTGTCTAAACGATGCCCTGACTCGTTGTTTTAGCGAACCTTGAAAAATAATCCAACATTGATTTACCTACCGTAATCGTCGAATTAACGTTGAATTACCATTTATTCGAAGA